TCTCTCTCTCTTTCTCTCTCTCTCTCTCTCACACACACACACACACACACACACACACACACACCTTTCCCCTCGTTGAGTCACGTTTCATTTTACTTCGGAATATTGCCTGTTGGTCTGGGTAAGGAGAAGATCGTCTTCCTATAAAGACAAAGGTACAATCTGCGTTCAGAGGTAGAAGACCCCCATCCGCATTCAAGAAGCCAGGGAAGACACTTCTGTCACGGAACCAGTCCGAGAGACAGGCACCCAGGGCAGATTCAGGTCCCGTCTACAGGGACGTCCACTGGCCGAGTATGGAGTTCCATCCAGCACCCTCAAGATGAGAGTGGTCTCCCCCTGACAGGAAGGCTGGGGCTCGAGTGGATCTGCCAGTCTGAGAAGATACTCTGCAGGGGGCTCTGGGGCTCCCACCGCCACCCCCCTCCGCCTTCTCCAAACTGGGCGTTCATGATTCCCTCATTTATCCCTTTTCCTGCTCCCCTTAGACATCCCTCTTCTCATTCCTTCCCGCCTTTCCAACATCTCTCTTCGCGCTCCCTCCTTCTTTTCCTCTCTCCCTCTTTCGGTACCCCTCTCTCCCCCTCCTCTCCTCTCTCCCCATCTCTGTTTTCTCTCACCCTCCCCTTTCTCATCCCTCTCCCCCTCTCAAGTGTCCCCCCTCCACTTCCCACTCACCCCTCCCTCTGCCTTTCTGCTCCCAGCTTCTCCATCTCGGACACCTTTCCCTCATTCTGCCCTCACCCGCTCTCCCCTCTCCCGCTCTCTCTCTCTCTCCCTCTCTCTCCCGCACTCCCTCCCTCCCTCCCTCTCCTGCTTCTGCCCTCTCTCCCCTCTCCCTTCCAGTCTCCCCTCCTCCCCTTTCCTGGTCCCTTCATGCCCACTCTGCCCCATCTTGCTCCTTCCATAAAGCCTTGGAAGTGCCTATGGTGCGATACTGCTCCATCCTGCGACAGAGCGTTTCCACGGCGATGGTGCTTGCTCTTGAAAAAAACAAAAACAACTTTATGGGTGCACATGGTTAAGTTAGGCTTTTCTCTCCCTGGGTTTCAACCCCAAGCTTTGGGTGGGTAGCTGAGTGGAGGCCTAACCATGGCTCCCTCAGGCCCCTCCCCCTTCTCTTCCTCCCCCCTCTCTTCTCCGAAGGGTCTGCTCTGTTCCCCCACCCCACCCCACTTCCTCTCCTCCCCATAGGACCTCTTTCTTCCTCTCTCTGCTCGGTTCTTACCCTCTGTCTTCCCCCAGGGTTCTCCCAGCTCCACACCCCGATCTCCACACCCTCATGCCAAGGACTCTATGGGCCCTGTGAGCTCTGAGTTCCCCTCGCCTTTCTGCCTCCCCCTGGCTGACCTCGGTGCTCTGGGGTGAGCAGATGCTAAGCACAAGGTGGAAGCCAACCCCGGGGCCACCATTGCTCTCTTTCTCTGTTTTCCTCCTTTCTTTCTTTCTCCTCACCTCCCTCACCTCCTCCTCCCCTGCCCTCCCCCGCTGCTCCTCCTCCTCCCCTGCCCTCCCCTCTGCTGCTGCTCTTTCCTTTCCCTACCCTCTCCCTCCCCTTCTCCCCTGGCCTCTTCTCTTGCTCCTCTTTCCCTTCCATTTCTCCCTCCCTCCTGCCTTCCTTCCTTATTTAGTTATCTGTCTTCCAGCACCCCCTTTTCTCCTTTTTCTCCTCCTCCTCCCCTCCCTCCTCCTCCTTGCTCTCCATCTCCTCGTCATTATTAACTTTCGCCTCACCCTCCTCCTCCTTTCTCCTTCTCATCATCATTCTTCTTGCTCCTCCACCATTTCCTCCTCCCCCTTCCTCCTCCTCCTCCTGCTTGTTCTTGCCTTCTCCTCCTCTTTCTAATAGTCTCCTCACCCTTCCTCTCCTCCTCCTCAGCATCTTCCTCCTCCTCCTCCTCCCCCGCCATCTTTCTGTGCAGCCTGCTCCCACAGAGCCCCGCTCCCCTCCCCATTGCTGCCTCCACACGGTCCTCCTTCCTCCCGTTGCCCTCCCTGGTCTCCTTTGGTTTCCCAGCTCCCTCGCTCCCTCGCTCCAGCCTCCACCTGGCTTTCCGTCCTCTCCCTTCATCCCAAATGCTGGTGGGATGTTTCCGGTAGACTGTGCATCTGTCCTTGGCTGTGAGCAGTACCCCCACCCCACTGACTCACGTAACCCCATGTGAGGGAGTACAGCCGGTTCTCTAGGCCGTCCTCTCTACGGACAGACAGACGGATGGAGACCTATGGGTGCCATGAGTTAAACTAGATGTGCTGGGCTTCTGGCCGGAAGTTCAGTGGTTCTAGCCCACCAGCCACCCTGTGGGGAAAAGAGGAGGTCATTGTATCCTTCAGAAGCCAATGGTGCAGTATTACCTGTCCGCTAGGGGCCACTACAGACAGAAACGGACTGCCCGGAGTGGGTTCGGCTTGTTGTTTGATTTGGGGGTGGGCAAGGGGTTCTCTTCTCTCTCCCCCTCTCCCTTCTCACCTTCTTCTGCCTGTTTGTGCCCCTCCCTCTCCTGCTTCCTGTCTGCTATTCCCTCCTTCTTCCATCTCACTCTGTTCTCTCTTCCTCCAGTTCCTGTCTCTCATCCATTCATGCCTCCACCTCTCTCTCTCTCTCTCTCTCTCTCTCTCTTTCTCTCTCTCTCTCTCTCACACACACACACACACACACACACACACACACCTTTCCCCTCGTTGAGTCACGTTTCATTTTACTTCGGAATATTGCCTGTTGGTCTGGGTAAG